CAGATATGGGTATTTATCGTTGTTTTGTGTAGCTATGACGGATCGTGTTAGCATTTAACTTAAATTTGTTATTTGTTGTTTTTTCTTTTAAATGCCTCCGATGCGACGACAAGGAAACAAAGACAGGAGGCGTAATCGTGATAACGACCGCAGCTCAATCTCAACTATTAGTTTACAAATGCGCCCTAACACTACCCCAAAACGACTTTTCGTTCTCAATTGGCCCTCTATCAATGACCTGTGTTGCCTGTACAGCGAAGCATTTTGAGGAGGAGAGACCGGCCGGAATGCTTTAGGTTTATCAATAACGAAGATAAACCCATGTAATACAAACTTAAGGTTTTAAGGTGGTAGAATCTCTTAAGGTTTTTGTCCATACAACCTTATATGGCTATAAGTCAGGAAATGTTTGTAGAAAACATTAAAAAAACAATACCGTACCAGAGGTTATGAAATGATACAATATTTACAGGAAATGTTGATTACTGTTTTATACACATCGTGAGTATCTTCATGAGCTACACACCGGTTATCTTTGAGTTGACTCGTTTAAACACATTGTAAATAACACTATTATTCGTTTTGAAATAACTCCTGTAATACTTTGCAATTGCTCGAATTCGAGCAACATGTACACTAGTATAAATTAATCAATGAAGGCAAAATTATGTTACAAGTTAGAAAAGTTTTATAATATCATATGATATATATTTATTTACATATTTTATTTTGATTTTTGTTTACTTTAAAAATGGCCTTAGAGCCGAAACTATAGTTAGTAAATATTTTAATAAATAATTTTTACTTGGGTACTAATTTTATTAATGTTTAATCTTTATTTATATAAAGTAGCCCTATTATTCTATTTTTCACATATATCTCTATTTATAAATGCGAAATTCCGATCAACCCACAGGGCAAACCATAGCACGTAGAAGCATGATATTTTGCATACATATTCCTCTCGTAGCGTAGGCAGACAATAAGAAGCGATTTTACAAAATTCCCAATGGGGCCTCCGCCAGTTACCATGGAGTTCATATAGGAAGAATAATTTGTTTTGGGTTTTTGTTTACACTTGTTTGCAATTTATTTAATGATCAGCTGTTAGAATAAAAATTTAGTTTACTACTGGTTATTTCGGACCATATAAACATCATAGTTGTGTGTCAGTGAAATTAACCTAATTTATTGTGACATTTTAATTTGATCAACTTCTAATATGTGTGATTAGTGTTGTAGAAAGTAGAACTGAACTTTTTTTTTAGGCTATAGCATTTTAATTTGTAATAACTTATGATGTAGTTCTGTTAATATTTTAGTAGTTATGGACACTGAGGATGTTATTGGTGAGTTTGTTCCACACAATATCATTCACATCAGAGGAGATGGTGCGTGTTTATTTACTTCACTCTTATTCATAATTCACCTTACACACTAACTGTGCGCAAAGTAACTGTTGCACATGTTGTGAGGAACTGGGACAACGTCTCAATCTTATCCCACGACAGTGACGGGAATAATGACCTTAATTCCAGGGAATACTTCTATGTCTAAGCCGTTTACCTTTGGTGGGTCGTGTAAGCTGGTTGTGGCTTCACAACTATTTACATGTTAATCTTGATTTGTTGGCTACTCATCATATAAATAAATTTATACACAATTTACAAAAAATGTGTAGGTATATTTCGAGTTTACTTCTAAACCCATCGTCAGCCTCTGTTTACAACTTATGTGTCGACTTACCTATGTTGTTAACAGAGGCTGACGATGGGTTTAGAAGTAAACTCGAAATATACCTACACATTTTTTGTAAATTGTGTATAAATTTATTTATATGATGAGTAGCCAACAAATCAAGATTAACATAAATAATACCATCAAGAAAAAAACATACCGGAATGAACTATTTACTTTTTTATTTCGAGGTTTATCGGAATGGTGAATATCGTATATGTCAAGTTTGGTGGTGAACGTTTTCCCGTGAAAATACTCAGATTTACACTATCCCTGTCTAGCAGGCACTTCGACTTTTTAGAGCTTGAAAAGAGCCCGTTTCTCCCAATTGTCAGCCGATCTCCGAATCTCAACAAAATACATCAAGGCGTAAACGGCGTAGCAGGTGCACAGACAAACAAAGGAAAAAGTAGGTGAAGATCGCAAGCAAAAGTATGAACAAACTTATACTGAAAGACCAACGATTTAATGGATGGTGAAAAATCTATCAGCAATGACATATAATAAGAAAATAGACTATGAAGGAAATAGTAGCTTGGTTGGGATAGCCACCATGACGTTGAAATGTAAGTACAGCGAGGCATTAAAATGAAAAGGAGAAAAACAGGGCATATGCTAATGATAGTAAAATGCAACTACTATCTTTGCAGCACCTACCTGAACTATGCAGTCTGGTCATGGGCAACCACCCTGAGCATACACACTTTATGGACCGGGTGACCAATATGAAAGCTGCTTTAATATGACATTGTTTGGAGCAAAACATTTTGTAGCTGAATTGGAATTCACTGAACGTTTTTGGCACTTAAACAATAATTTATTAAACATTTCAACCAATTTGAAAGTTTCCGTTGCGAAGCATGGGTATTCTGCTAGTATATATATATAAATGTCCGTTAGCACGATAACTCTAACATAAGTTATCCGATTTTGATGAAATTTGGTATAAAAGTGTAAACCTGTGTCAAAATTTAAACGAGTTCGCAAATCAGCATGATCGGACCTTGGGAACCAGGGTATATGGGGTAAAAATGGGGTTTTCCCATTTTTGACCCAAAAAACAAAAAATTTTGGAATTTCTTTCCCAACCATTTTGGTAGAACTTTAAAAAAGAAATAATTTAGTATATTGAAGCATTGTTGTATGCCTAATGGTTACGTAGAAAATACAAAAGTGAAATTTTAAAATTCCCATGTTATTCTTATGGAGAAAATGAAAACTGTTGTAGTTTACTTGTTTATGTTGATCAAATTTGGCAAATGTATTTATTTCATCCTATACTATTGACGTTCTTGGTCAAAAACCACTGTTTACCTTCCCCGTAGCAGCAAACCTAAGCACTCGTTAAATCTAATGTTATTTAAATTGGGAATAAATATGTCTTATTTATGGAAATATTTGAGTAAATATGTAATCAGCCAAGTTGAAATTCGCTTAGTCTGCAGGTTTGCTGTGGCGGGGGTATTTTTTTACATTCGAGCCAAATAAGTAATTTTGTTTCCTCTTATACTCCATATTCCTTCTGTTTTAATGTAGCCTATTCAAACGCAATTTAAAAAATTACAAATTGAGAACTGATATTGTTTGGGATAAAATAATCTATATAATTAATACGCTACATGAAACTTTGTCGGTTGAACTTCTCTGCCATTTCTTAACCGATTTTATCGAATGACGTCTCATTGGAAAGAGTGTGTCGTGTAAATTTGCAAACTGGCCTTACATTTTTGAAAAAGTCCCTTGGGCTCTGCCCCAGTGGCTTTGAAAGTTCCCATGTTATCCTTATGAAGAACATAATTGTTTACATTTTGATCAGCTGTATAATTTAATTGCTGTTATTTATTTTTAAATTCAATGAAACACATTGAGTACATTTATTTACTATTTGAGTTTGTGTAAACATAACCCCAAAGACGGATCGTGTTAGTATGGTTGTATCTTTAATTTGTGTATTTATCGTTATTTTGTGTTGCTATGACGGATCGTGATCTAGCATGATTGTAACTTAAATTTGTGCATTTATCGTTGTTTTGTGTGGCTATAATTTGTTTATTTGTTGTTTTTGCTTTTAAATGCCTCCGACACGACAACGAAACATAGACAGGAGGCGTAATCATAATAACGACCGCAGCTACAGAACAGTGGTGCGTAATAGGCTTACCTCATCACAGTCAGCACCTGACCCTGGACAATCTCAACTATTAGGTTACAAATGCGCCCTAACACTATCCCAAACCGACTTTTCGTTCTCAATTGTCCCTCTATCAATGACCTGTGTTGCCTGTACAGCGAGGCATTTTGAGAAGGAGAAAACCGGCCGGAATGCTTTAGGTTTATCAATAACGAAGATAAAAATGGTCGGAGTTACACACCAGTAATATTTTAAGAGTTGACTCTTTTAAACTCATTGTAAATATGACTATTCGTTTTGAAATAACTCCTGTAATACTTTGCAATTGCTCGAATTCGAGCAACATGTACACTAGTATTACGATTATAAAGAAAAAGAAATGAAACTGTTCTAAAATAACATAACCTAACTAACCAAACATCCTGTTCAAAATTCCGTTTGATAAGAGAAAATACCGCGGTACTGTACATGATTGTGGGTAATACCAAAAACAGAATTTTGAAAATGTTACAGCAAGTTTGGTTTGTTAGGTTAGTTTGATTTCTTAATCAATTTATATTTTTTTTTGCAATTTAGTACAATAAATGCTAATGTTTATGAATAAATAGCTAACTGTAAATAATAGGCGACCCCTATGTTTTTTTTTTTTTGAGACTCATGGTGAGCGTTCCTGAACTGGAAAATTTACGACTACACCATTGTCATTGTTCATCAGGCTTTCAATGGAATTAATACAAAAATTGAATTCCTTGTTCAGACCAACATTCAAATTTCCATTAAAACTAATAATACAATTCATTCGCCGATAAAAAGCATCTCTGGTTGGTCAAAAACATCCATGTGGTGGATGAAAAATCAGGTAAAGGCCTAAAGAAAAACATCAAATGTCAATAAAATAGATAGAACATTGGTAGGAAATCATTGGTTATTGATTGTTGTCCTTACTAGGCTACAATATATATACCGATAAGTTTTGTAGTGTTTTAAACCAGCTTTTTATAAAGAAAAGTATTGTTTTATTTTGCCTATCTAAACTGATTACCATCCTCAGATCTGTATACAATCGGAAAACAGATTTAGGAGGTGATTAAAGCATTATATTTAAAGGTAACGTTGATTAACACTTTTTCAGCTCAAGTTCCATCTCCGGGACGTTATGACCCCAAACCAGATGTCAATGTCAAAGGGGCCATCATGCCAACCTCGAAGAGGTTCCCAGGGCAATCAACAACTTCATCCTCCCTAGACAACATAGAAAAAGCATCTACTGCCTCATTGGGAGTTGTTTTCAGAACTGTAAGCTTAGCTAGAAAATATTTACTTAACTTACACGCCTACTTTATAGCCCCAAAAACCCGACTTGATAAGGACTTTCAGGCCATTGTACCAAGTTTAAGAAATGTTAGGTTATTGGGAAAAGGGCCAAAAGTTAAAAACGGATTTTTTTTTATGTAAGGATAATTACTATTGAAATATACTACTAAGACAACTTGTTCAAAAATATTTAGGTACAACTTGAGTATGACAGGGTGGACCACTTGCATATTGTTATTGGAAGAATATGGTTTGAGAACCTACAAATTTCATCATGTAAAAATCAAACACTAATTCAAAAATTTGTTTCTAGCCTCAACTTATGAGGAAAGTGCCACTGACTCCAAGACTCCAATATCTGAAGGAAAAAAACATTGACACTTCTGGTTCAGATATTCTGTCTTCTGAAGAAAGAACAACAATGAAATATTCTTTGAAAAAAACTGTTTCAAAGTAAGTAGGCCTACTTATTTATTAATTTCAATAACGGGCATTTCCATTTTATAAATATAATCAATCAAATAGTAACTTAACAAAACTCAGGATGGCTTATAATGTAACATTAACGGAACACAAAAAACACAGTTTTGAATTAATGTGAAATGAGTAATGTTTCAACCCTCTAACTGGCAATGGGCAAACACTGTAATGGCAAGGAATTTTTGGCAATTTTGCAGTCATATTTTCAAAAACTCTTATAAACTAAACCAACAGAGCAAACCTATTGAACCATATACTTGAATTAATTGTTCGTAATGAAATGAAGAATTTGAAAATGGACAGAATGTATTAGCATTAGGTAAGAAAAATAAAAAAAATGGTTTTTGAATTTTGAATGTAAAACTTTGCTGCATGAACCAAAAATTTGTTATGTTAAATTCAAGATATACAAAATGTTAAGAATTTATTTTCCTACATGGAAATGTAAAAATATTTCAATTACCATTTTGTTTTAGAAAGTTATGACCTAAAAACAAAAAAATGGCAAATTCCACGATTTTGCACTACAAATTTCAAACAATACCAAATAAATTTTTTCTCAATAAATGTGGTAAAAGTACACATATTTTGTAAAATGCAATAGCATTAGAAATTAAATTAAGTAAGAACTGTTCATGGAAAATGACCATTAGCCTACTATAAATCTCTATTAATTTTTTATAATTTTTTTTAGGAAAAAACATTTTGTTATTCTAACATGTAACCTAGGCTATAGGCCTATTATTTTTCAAACACATAAAACCCAATGTACCAACTATAGAAAATGAAAGTAAAACATGAATATATGTAGTTATAAAGGCAAATATAAATAAATAAATATTTTACATAAAATGCTGCTGCGCCTTTTCATGTGGCGATCAAATTGTTTCTTCACTATGACAAAATGTTTCAAATACAGGCTAGGTAAATGTACTCTTCCAAACCCCAAATTTAGTCATACTATGCTCAAGAAACAGTTAACAAACTAAATATGTACAAATTTACAACTAATAATTGATTCAAAGTGAAAGTCATAGTCACATCACCCGCAATATTCGTTGTTGGTTGTTGGTAAACATTTTTTGAACATTATTGCCACCACCCACCAGGACTGATGTACGAATGATATGATAGGTTACGTACCTTTTTATTCTGTCTCCAGTTTTTAACATAGTCAAGGGTGACTAGTTTTGGGTCAGAAATGACCCATTTTCAAACTCATGTCATTCAATTGGTTGGTCCATAAATCCGACAGGAGTCTTTGTTATAAGGTATAAATACACGTGGACACATTTTAAGTCCACACAATTTTAACACTAAAGACATTTAATGATGGTAGCCAGCCACATTTATAAGGGACACGTTGTCGAAGCAGGGTCGATCCCGTTATTATATCCGTTAAGGATATCCTTGTTGTGAATGATTTTTTTTATACATACCGTGTTCGGCAGTTTGTGATGCGTACATGGTGCAACTGACTTTGCTCAAAATTTGTGTTCACTTTAGTGCTCAATTACAGTGATCTTTTAGTAAAATAAATTTCATATATGAAACAAGGTGCAAGTTTAGAATCTTATCTTTCTAATGTTATAAAAATCATTCCATTTTACAATCGTTTTCAACCATTTATTTGGAGCTAACCAAAACCGACTAGTATAGTCACTGCCACTACAGAAACTACCTACCGCAACTATTATAGTTGCGCTGCTAGTTGGAGGTTAAACGACTTATGGTCAATCCATTTCAAGTCATACAGGCATAGTTGCTCAACATTTTTAATTTTTATGAAACTTTCATAAAATGTTAACTGTATCAATAGGATTGACATGCAAGTGTTAAAAAATTTTTTTTCTCTCAAATTTTTTTTTGGCGGCCATTTTTGTTTGAGCGAAACGCGCGTTTTTTACAAAAATCGACATTTACTAAATATTTAATAGCTTTTTTATTTTTTAAGATATCAGGACAAATTAAAAACCAAAATATTCAGCAAGAAATAAGCTTAAAATTGATATATAATAAATTACATAAATACCGTATGTTGTCTAGCATGTAAAATGCTAAAACGTAAAAAAAAGATTTCAGCGGTGAAAATGTTATTTTCCCTGGAATATTTTCTTAAGAAAAAGTAATTACTCACCCTTAATATTTTTGGTATTTTAAAGTTGGCATATGAGATAGTCTAAATCTCAAGTTTGGGCTAAGAAAGTCTTATCCTTTTTTCTTTATAGGTCTATAAATATGGTGGATTATCCGATTTCCGCCATTTTCAAGATCTTATATCACAAAAGGGACTGAACCAAAATCAATCAAATTTCTGTCATTAGTACTTGTAGTTGTTGTAATTATGATGTATTATTTTGATCACTGAGACTCAACTAGTTTAGAAGATATGCAACATCAAAGTTGTGCGAAAATAGCGTAACAAGTAGCGTTAGAAGTTAGAACAAGTAGTCGACTAAGCTAATCAGTTTATATGTACTTGTTTTGAAAGGGTATGTTACTATGTTACAATCATATACACACAAATAAAACTTTATTAGATTAAATGGAGGTTTACACAATAAACTTCCATGTTCATCTTGGTTTTATTGACACTTTTTCAAGAAACATATGGATTAAAAATGTTTAACCGTTTCTGATAAGACATTAAACATAGAGTGTAAAAAATGCCATAGGGATCACATTATCCTTATACAGTAGCCTATTGATTCAATATTTAATCAAAGAGTTGAATAAAGTTGAAATCTCATTGCACAGTTTTTGTGAAATATTGTAATTTCTTCCAGATGTGGTCGATAACTCTAATGGAGTAGTTTTCCGTATAACTCCTTTAACTGGAACCCATAAACAGTGTCATTTGTTAAGAGTTTAAATGATGTTTTGGGTCCTGGTGGATGGAAAAAGTGAACCAGGACGTCCTTTTTGTCTTCATTCTTGTCTTGTATTTTGCCAATCCACCACTTCTCGTCATAAATACACGCTATGTTGTCTTGATTGCTAAAGGAGTAAGTGTTAGTGAACTGTATTGATGTTGGCTGGTCTTCGAAATGTGTAGATTTTGATGTTTGAAAACATCAGATTTGGTTGTCACTTAGCTGGAAAAACCTATGGTAATTTCTTGTACCTGTTACGGGCAAGCAGCATTCAAACAAGGCCCCACTAGAAAAAACAGGCCATGCTCCAGCGCGGGTAGCGCAACACTACGTCACAGTGGTGGATAGTTGTACTAAACTCTTACCATTAAAATCTTACAAACAGCCAGCTTGTTTATTTACCTAAAACATATGGGAATGGTGATGGCAATGAATTTATCAATGAAATCTATCCACTAGTGTGACGTCATGGATCCTGCAGCATGGCCTGCTTTTTCTAGTGGGGCCTTGATTCAAACCTACTCTTAAGCTGCTCTTCCCATACTTCAATTTCTTTCGATGTAACATATTTGTATTCTATGCCCGTAATTTTTTTCAGTGCAGAATTTAATCATTTCTTCTGGGGTCATTATTTGGTTTTGATACGGTCTTTGCATACTGGCTATAGTTACTTCTCGTATCTTGCCATGTGAGTAGTGAGAAGGCTTGATTGATATACTTATATCTCTAAAGGCCCACAATTTTATATCACTGAAGACTACAACTCAGAGTACCTCATTCTGAAACATATAGCTGTTAGCAATGGTCACCCCAGCAGTATTATCGATAAGATAGTTAACAAACAAAAGTACAAAATTGGTAAACAAATTGATAAACCCAGCAACTTTGTATCCGTCGAATTTGGAACCAACCTACACTATACATTAAAAAATTAATTGAAAAAACATCAAATCACCCTAGCTAGTAAAACATCAAACAAGCTAGAACGTCATTTGAGCCAATCCAACCGCAAACAAAATGGTAATGATTTAAATGGCACAGGTGTTTACAAACTATCTTGTAATGATTGCTCCAAATTATACATAGGCCAATCGGGACGCTCCTTCAATACCAGATTTAAAGAACACCTACCTAAACCTAAATTGTCACTACAACGATCCAAATTTGCAGAACATCTAGTAAATGCCAATCACAATGTAAACAGTTGCCAAGATAATTTACAAATCTTGCACAAATGCAATAAAGGTCCCCTCATGAACGTCTTAGAGAGTCTTGAAATTTATAAAGCTAATAAAAAATCCTCTCAAGACGTTTTGAATGAAAAACTAAATTTTGGTTCAAATATTTTATTTGATAGAATTGAAAACATTGACATCAGAGCTACTACAAGTCTTTATCAGCTGACGTACCCCCTCCCCCAAGGTCAATGTCACCAACTGGACAATGGATAGTTCTGTCGTGTCCGCCGTGTAACCTGCGTCGGTTTGTCCCATATTCAATGTGGCCGGCCTATCGTAAATGTATTTGTAACTTTTATTTTTGTAAAACGTGTAAATTTTATGTGTCGTCAACCTGCATGTATACATTGATGAAGACTTACGTCGGATATTTGACATTCAATATGATGTTTTAAATAAGGATTTGATAATGGGACTTTGTTCCCGAAACTAGTCATCCATTGACTAAGTTAAGACTGAAGAGGGAACAAGGTACGTAACCTATTATATATTCTATTATCAGTCTTGGTGGCAAAGATGTTAAAAAAGGTATCTACACTTTTTAATAAGTTGATCATTTCAAAATAAATCAAAAAGGCTTTTACTCCTGCTTTTGTGAATTTTAAATCCTGCAAACTTTACATACGTCTATTTGCAATCACTCTAATTCTAATATCCTAAGTTTTGTATAAAAATATAATAATAGGCTACAAGAATATCCCTACTTTTGTCATATTCAGTCAAATATTGAATTAATTAGAAGTCATTATTTGTGAATGGTTCGCACATTCATTTTTTAAAAGGTTATAAATCATTTAATAGAGTTTTCTAGGTAATTTGAAACCCTCTAGTTTGTGTTAATTGTGTAATCCGGTATTTTTCA